CATTTAGTGGAAATTTGCTCATGCTGAACCACCTTTCCCTTAAAATGCAAAACCTCCTTGCATTGGTAGTGTAGTCGTTTTAAGCCTTTCCAAAATACTGTAGAAATACATGCCTTCTGAATCTTTAGAAAAGTACCTCGGTATCCATTCAGTACAAACATTCTGCTGAACCTACGTTTTGAAGAATACCAATTGTGGGCCAATCTGATAGAAACACAACTACTGAGTCTCTATTCAAAAGCAATACACCCTCTGCTGAGCCACTTTGCATTAGAATTGTACCCTTAAGGAGGCTTCAACCAATTGAATATACAACTGCTAAATCTTTTTCCGATTGAAATTCACCTTTGTTAAGCCACTATCCTTTAGAAGTCTACATCTATTGAAGCTTCATTCAGTTAAAATACAAAACTACTAAACCATTCATTCATTAGAAATACACCCCTCTGCTGAGCTTCATTGCATGAGAAAAATAACCTCACTAATCTGCCATTTAGTTGGCAGCTCCGTAGCCTCTGGCCAGTAGCAAAGTGAGCATCCATTTTTTTTTTTTTTTTTTTTTTACAAATATGCTCACACCGAATCACCACCCATCAGGAATACACTGACACTGAAATTCCACTCGAATCATTTTTGGCTCACCTTTGCTACTGTTTGTTGATTAGAGGATAGACAATGAGGATCGAGGATGGACCTATGGCACCTATTGTATTTTGACAGACACTGCCAGTGGCTGTCAGAATACCTGAACAGCAATTGCATCTGAATGGACTGAAAATTTCCCTTCTGACTCCTTTCATTTTTCAATCAAAGGATGTTGGCAGAAGGGTGGTGACAGTGTCACCCATGCAGCAAATTTTGTTCAGTTCATCAGGAACCAGTTGAAATGTGAACAGTACATTGCCAGCTTAAGTAAGATAAAACATTAAGCTTTGTCTGGGGTTATTATTTGAACAGAGAACACTCAAAAATAACCAATTATAACCAAGAAATCCATCTGACATTGGAAAAACTTCACTAGATGGAAACTGGCCCAGTCATCGGCCTGTATGTCCTAGCAGTCATCTGTGTTTCTTTAATGACACTCTTGCCTGGGATCTGCTTAATTTGCATATTTGATAAGTTCGTAATACATTCCAATGAATAATGAGTCCCCTGCAGGATTTTATATGCTGGTGTTTTTCTCTATGTTTTCTTTTGCTCTGAACATTTGTCAAGTAAACAGAAAGTCATGTTATTTATTATTTGCAAATGTCTCCCTTAGGAAAGAAATGGGACATTCGGTGCATTTGTTTTAGATTTGTAGCACACTTAATTTTTACCCCACACTGTGAGCATTTTTTTTTAAATGATTGCTAGAGCAGAATCGTTACAGATGACGTAATCTAGAAACATGGAACCCATACACTGTTTAAATTAAGAACTTTCTCAATGCATTCATATGTACAGATTGTCACAAACTCCAACCACACTGACTGCTTGTTTCTACTTGACTTGATTTCCTGAAGTGGGCTCATATTTTTCTATCTTTTTGTTCTGGTGACTATTGTCATTGGTAATGATAGTAAAGGGAACAGGACATGAGGCAATGAAGATCCCAATGCATGTGTATCATTGTGAGAAAAGGGGTTTTTGAGCATATAAATTAGATATGGTACTTTTGAATGCAGAATTGTTTGGTGCCAATGACATTTACATCTATATCATATGAAAAAATATTTTTTTAATTTAAAGTTTAGGTAAAAGCATATTGGTTATTCTTAATTAAAGCCAGCTATGACAGTTGTGATAGCTCAAACATTAAACCTTTGCCTGCCCCAGCCTCTACACCTAATAACCAAACCTGGCCCTATACCCAAACGTTAGTAGAAATCTACCTCTAAGCCTTGAACTGGAGCCTCAAAATCTGGTCTTTATAGTTAACCTAACCCCATATCCTTAAGCAGTGAGCTGATTGAGCATTTTTTAAATAATTGCAGAACGGGTACTGTCATGTCAATCAAAATGCCAAAACTCTGGCACCAAAATATACGGCTGTGATCTACTGACCTGCTTGCTATCATTCATCCCACTTGCCCTCTGTACCTTACACCTTGCTGGTTGACAGGATGCCATGATAGATGAATTCTTACACAGGAGGCAGCCTCTGGACAGAATCAAAGGAAGCAGATTACAAAAGAATACCAAGTACCCATATTTTGAGGTGGTGTTCTTTATTCTCGATTCCTCAAATTGTGTAGACAGTCAGAGGCACGTATAATAAAACAAAAACAGAAATAAGATTTTCTGTCTGTTTTTATCTGAAAGAAACACAATTTAAGCTAGCCATACAATAGTAGATTTTAGAACAAACATTCGTACAAAAATGTGTACATAAATTCCTAGTACGCTCAGTTACTTGACGGATGTTCAAAAGTACTTAAAATTCTACTTGCTTTTAACATTTGATTCTAGAATGAATAGACTTTCCCAAATGAAAACCACATTCGCTGTTAGAATATTGTTTGAGAAAAATGATCTGTCTTGCTCCTTCACATTTTCTCATTACTGCGTTTGAAAACCAATATCAGTTTGACCCCAGTAATGATGAGAAAATTGAACACATTTTCTTAAAACAAACAAATTTGACCAAAATTCTACTTGCTGCGTTTTACAGTGGTGCTCAGTTATCCCGTATATAATCCGCTTATCATAAACTATATATTTTAATTTCCAAGTCCAAATAAACAATTTTTATTCTCAAAGCTAACGATCATATTAACAGAACAAAATGGATGGACCATGTAAAACATATTTCGTGAACATGATTTCTGCTTTGTTCATAACCATTTGTGTCAGAATATTGACCACAAAGCTTAATGAACTGGAAAAAAAGAGACTTTAGAGAATAAGAGTCCTTCAGCACAAAGTCTTACTAATTCGCTGCCATTGTATTGCTCAAAGTACTGGAATAAGAAGTCCTTTTACTTGCAGGTATTGTATTCAGTAGAATTAGGCCTAATTAGTTATAATTAACCGCTGTGCTAAAGAAAAACAATCTGGGTCTTTGAGTTCTCATTACTAATCCCAAAGCTCATATCTGTAAAACAAATACTGCACAAGTTCAAGAATGTTAGATGAAGGAATTTGCAAGCAAGCTCGTCTATAGGTTTACAATAGTAATAGATTTGGAAAAAAGGATACTGATACAGTAGCATTACTGATATTCCAAAGAAGTGAGTTTCCAAATTGTCTACAGCATTTTGTGACCTTGATTTATTTAAGTGACCATTTCACGTAAGTGCGTAATATTAGAAAATTATGTTCTTGTAAAGAAGGAACCGAATACTTACCTCTCCTATCAGCCGTGCCACTAAATGCTGCTGCATTAATGAAGAACTGCCGCATAAAGGCCGCTTGGGTAACCAACACTCCCTTGTGTGTAGATTTCCTATAACCCCGGCTGCACTTAGTGTTTCCTTTTACTGACCTCAACACTACTGCTCCGTAGTTACATGGAGGTCAGTGAAAGGAACCAGTGAGCTTTGCAAGCAACCCTGGAGATCAACACTCCCTTACACCCAATTCCTTGAAGTGGTTCTAAAGGCATGACTTTTTTCCTTTAAAAAAAATAAATACATCATATGTACCTCATACGTGCATCAAGGTTTTGCCCAGTGCAGCCCCAATCCTCCTCTTCCTGGGTCCCCCGCTGGGTGCTTCTGGCCCCTCCCCCTTGCTGAGTGCCCCAAAGCAAGCTGCTTGCTCTGGGGGCACTTGTACATGCTTGCTCCCATGCTGCCTCTGACACGCAGAGCATGGCTCAGTCCTGCCCCACTGCTCTGTCTCAGCCAGTGAGAAGAGAGAGACCCGGAGCCTCTGCTCTCATGCACATCACTGGCTCGAGATCGGGCTCAGGTATTTATAGGGGGGCTGCACACTAAAGGTTTTTTGCCTTCATTCATAGAATCCATGAAGGTTAAAAAACCTTCAGCCTTTAGAACCACTTTAAAGCACTTACTTTGCTCCCCATTCTAGCAAATAATTTTCATTAAGGGAATCAATAGTATAGCTTCTATGAATGGAGCAACCTCCACAGCACCAGAAAATCACAGATCCAGGGGACAGAGGATGGGAAATTTCAAGCAGCACAGCAGCCACCAGCACAAAGAACACTCTTCATTTGTTGAAAGTACTGTTTTATGGTGCTGATTTAGAAAAAAATTCAATAGAATTAAAGAGGAGCTCCAGTCATATATGTAAAAATTAAAAGTCAGCAGCTACAAAAACTGTAATAGACAGACCTGCCCCAGGATCCAACGATGTGCTTGCCAGAGCCATTTTCTCCACCAGTCTGCAGTCCCCGCCACCAGCATTTTTAACTGTGGGCACCCGGCTGTGAGACAGTTTGCAGCTTCACAGCCGTGTGCCTGCTGTGCATGCGCGAACCACGCTGCGCATTCTGAATGGTCCCATAGTCTTCTTCAGTCACGTATCCCAGAATAGTGCGGGGAGGGAAGGGGGAGGAGTACTTCCACCCTGATTGCCTAGGCGGTCAGAGCAGAAGTAAAAGTGGGTACCTGTCAAAACCAGGTACGCGCCCCCCCTTTCCAAAACCAGTGCCAGTTCTTAAAAAGGAGCGTCTTAAAGCGCATCTTCCCCTTTTGGGTGGAGCGCCTCTTTAAGCTTTGAATTTCTTGGAAGAACCATGGTTGGAAAGATCTATGATGTTAAATAAAGTACTAAGCGGAGGTGTAGTTTGTTGAGTAAAAGCTATAGGCCACTGTGAATAAAATGAGAGGAGCCTTTTTGGTACAAACAATACTTTATACATTTAGACTTTTCCATGCGGTGGTTAGCTAACATGTAAATTGGATCCACTTCAAAAGGAGATACGATGCTGGAAAGATGCTTGTGTTTCGATAGACTTGAAGGCATTTCTGTAGCGATTGTAACCATACAATTTTAAACCAGTCATAATATTTATTGTAGAAAATAATTACTTTTTTTTTCTATTGCAGGCCAAGCCATGGGTGGTACAGTTAGTGCACTGGCAGCCATTTTGGACCTTACCATAGCTTCCAATGTAACAGATAGTGCTCTTGCATATTTCCTCACTGCAGACGTATTTATCCTTCTCTGCATTGCTGCCTACTTGCTCCTTCCGAAGATCACGTATTCTAGGTAAGATTTTAAGTTAAAGTGTTTGTAATTCTCTGAAATTAAAAATGAATGTCAGATCTGCACCCCCTGCCTGCTGGAACTGAGAAAAAGCCTTTCATATATGTGTTTTAGAAGGCTGCAGATAAACGGGTAAAACATATGAAGGATGATTTGTTGCATCTCTGTGTATCCCCTGAGGCTGGTCACTTCAGTGGGTATATGTAAGGGTTTCTAAATTCTGCTGATTTTGTCCTGTGACTTATACAGGAACTCTATGCAGCCTAGTTTGCATCTACACATTCTGCAACCTTTACCTTAAGCTTAGTGAGCATGCACTTTCCAAAGTAATTTTTTTTCTTTACTAAATACACTAACTTTCATTTATTTTAGTTTATGTAGTCATCAGCTTATCGCTCATTTTAGTACCCTACTTTACTTGAGAGAGGTCATATTATCCTGGTTTATTCTTTAATTCACTTTAAATTATGAGTACATTTGGCAATAGTTTAATCACTGGGTCAAGAATTAATAAATACATAATAAATAATGCTGCAACCAAATTTATTGGACTGTCTTTTTATAGCTCTGCTCACCAGGAATGATGCAGAAGGATCTGATGACTTTTCATACTGGTATTGGCAGAGGTTTAGAACTAGATTCAGGGATAAAGCCAGTGTTGGGACTGATAGCGCTGGATGACATCAAGTGTAAACCAAAAAAGGTCTCATTTTGCTTAAAGAATAAGTGTACTTTAGGACCTAGTGCCCCTTTGTCCTCAGCACTTTGGTCTCGTTCTTAGTCTCCGCGGATGCATAGTTACCAATATCTGCTGCCCGTGGTCCTGGGAGTTGTTTACATCTCAGGCTGAAAGTACTCTGTCTCCTACCTGTGACTGCATAGTGGAGCTCCATAAAATTCTGTGGGGCCTGTCTCTGTTGAGTCTTCGACCAAGAGACGGAGGCAGAGTAGCTCGATAGAGCTCCGTGTAGGGGGGGTCTACTGCATAACCTCAGGCAGGAGACTGGTAAACATCCCTGGAGGCTGTGGGTGACAGATGTAGGTAAACCCAGCTATTGATGGTTCAAATCTCGGCCGGTTCAGCAGGGACCAACCAAGATTCAAACCATCTATGGACAGGCTGAATGTACTCAAGTTGATAGATCTATCAACTTGGGTACAACCAGCCTGTCAAAGTTTGCATGCAATTATTGCTAGCAGCTATTATAGTCGCTAGCAATAATCACTGTGCTCTCCCAGATATAATACAAGAGGAAAGTCTTGCCATTGCTGAAAAGGACATCACAAGGGTAGCTGTTCTAGAAAAAAAAAAAAAAGTCTTGCTCTTATTATTTGTACTTACATATGTTTTTTGAAGAGTGAAAAAAAGCCAAAAAACCACAGACAGAAACTTGTAAGTTTCGGCCTCAGATTACCTATACCACGTGTCTGTTCCATCCCTCCACAAAAGAGAACTACTATTCTAAAGCATTGAGAAATTGCATCTGACTAGCTCCACAAATCTATATGCAAGTGTTGCATAATATTTCATCCTTGTGCCCTTCACAAACTCAGACCTCCCATGTATAGTAAAGGTTTCCTGTGGCTGATGAATGTCCTGTAATGCAAGCTCCGTGATAAGTAAATTGTGTAACTGGGTCAGCAGTAAATAGCAAAGATAAAGTTTTTCCACACAAAGAATCCCTTCTATCAGTACGGAATGATTTCACCACTGTATAGGTCTATGAATCTATTATAAATATGACAACCCATTTTTTTGTTTTAACCTTTTATATCTGTGGCTCTTTATGCACCTACCTTTTATAAGTAGTCCTCCAAATAATTTCCTTTATTTTGCCCTGTTTGATAGATTTCTTGTTAAAATCAGGGTGAAGTTGCTTTTATTACTTCTTTATATGAATAGAGTTTCACAGAACCAATACAATAGCAAGCTATGGGAGATCAGATGTCTGTACTTTCAGTCAGCATGGTTTGCAGTTATTAACTGCTGTTAAATATTCCTTGCTACTCCCGGGAATTCTTAGAGTTTCCGTTAAGACCTTGTATAATGTTGTATGTATTTTTCCTTACGTATTATGTTCCAGATAAGATAAGAAAAGACTTAAAGCTAAATTCAAGATATTTTTTTTTTTTGTATAGTTATATTGGTCATCCAAGGTGTTCTCAAATTGGACAAGGTGGAGAGGCGGGACGATGATGTCACAATCTCTACTTAATCCAATCAGAGAAATCCTTGCATTGAAAAAAATGTAAGGTGTTCTGTGAATGGTGCCAAGCAAGCCACCCCCTGAGGGAACTTTGTAGCAAGGACGAAAATGGTGATCACTGTAGCATCAGCAACTACTACTGTGATTGTCCACTTTCAGAGCAGTCCCTTGGGTGGGCATGAATTAGTCCAAACTATGCTCCTCTGCCTAGTTTAGGAGACTGTCTGGCTCTGGCCATTCCTTTAGGTCATTGGGAGATATTGGCCATACTGTCACATGATCACACAAGAGCACAGCAGTAACATGCATTGTGGTCTTTATTCTTAATTCAGTGTGAGTAGTGGGTAAAGATGCTTGGGGTTAGCATGGCTGTTAAGTACTAATGGTATATTAATTCAACTGATGACCTGCTTGATTCTCTCTAGAATGAGCCTTTCTCACCTTGTGTTTTTTAATTTTGAGTGAGTTACTGACTTAACCGCAGCTAGTGACATCAGAAATCTCTACATGCATACTGTTTACGAGCTAGTGACTCAGAGAGCGCAAAGCCGTAGGATGATCATGACATCCACAGATGTTGAAGCTTCTTAAAACTGTAAACCTAGGAAGGTTAGCTTTTCATTTATATAGGTTAAAGTGTCTCTGTAGCCAAAATGTTTTTTCCTAGATAGAATAGATAAAGGTTGAAACACCTGTCTGTTTTATTTTTTGGGAGATTTCACTTAATTTCCTATCTTTAATATGTAACAGGAGGTGCAAAGAAATCTCACAAAATTGAGGGGAATTCCCCTCTTAACTATCAACTGAACATGTTTTTCTGTTCTGGTGACAACTCTGGAGTTGTGGATTTCCCATCACATCCTAACTCAATGAACACCAGAACAAATATGGAGGGTGAGTCTCCACAGTGGGAAGACAGACAGCAATCAAACTGACAGGAGTTCATCACTCTGTCCAAAACTTAAAAGAACATTTTGCCTATTGATATGCTATAATATTTGACTTTTAGTGTACAAGGTATTTTTTTTGTTGTTATTATTATAATACAGGATTTATATAGTGCCAACAGTTTGCACAGCGCTTTATAATATAAAGGGGGACAGTACAATTACAATAAAGTTCAATACAGAAGGAATAGGAGGGCCCTGCTCATGAAGCTTACAATGTAAAGGAAGGGGGAGGTGGTACAAAAGATAATAGCTGCAGGGGATGATCTGATGGAGGGGACTCAAGTACATTTCTTAGGTGGAGGTGGGTAGGCTTCGATGAATAAGTGAGTTTTCAAATATCGCCTAAAGGCGGACAGGGTGGGCGCTGACTGGACATACCGGGGTGGGGAGTTCCAGAGAAGGTGAGAGATTCTGGAGAAGACTTGGAGGCGAGCATAGGTGGAGGTGACAAGGGAGCTAGAGAGTAAGATGTCTTGGGAAGAGCAGAGCAGACGATTTGGATGATATCTGCAGATGAGGTTGGTGATGTATCTAGGGGCAGTGTTGTGGATGGCTGTATACGTTGTGGTTAGTATTTGGCACGTTGGGCTAGTGGAAGGCAGTGAAGGGATTGGCAGAGAGGAGCAGCAGCTTTTAGTTAGGTGTAAAGGTCTAGCAGCAGCATTCATAATAGACTGAAGGCAGGATAGCCTGTGTAAAGGTAGCCAAGTGAGGAGGGAGTTGCAGTAATCAAGGCAGGAAATAAACAAGGCGTGGATACGGTTTTTTGTGGTGTTGTTAGTCAGGAAGGGGCGAATTATGGAAATGTTGCAGAGGTTGAGGTGGCAGGATTTAGCCAGTGATTGGATGTGGGGCCCAAAGGTGAGGCCAGAGCCTAGGATTACACCTAAGACCTTGGCATTTTTATTATACAGGATTTATATAGCTCCAACAGTTTGCGCAGCACTTTACAAAATGAAGGTAGACATTACAGTTACAATACAATTTGGTACAAGAGGAAACAGAAGGCCCTGCTCGTTAGAGCTTACAATCTAGGAGGAATGGTTGAGTGATACAAAAGGTAATAGCTGTGGGGGGGGGATGAGCTGATGGAGGAAAATAAATGGCGGTTTACTAGGTAGAAGCAGGATACACTTCTTTAAAGAGAGAGGTTTTCAGGGATCGTCTAAAGGTGGATAGATTAAGAGATAGCTGGATAGATTGGGGTAGAGCGTTCCATAGGATGGGAGAAGCTCGGGAGAAGTCATGGAGGCGAGCATGGGAGGTGACACGGGAACTAGAGAGCACAAGGTCTTGGGAGAATCGAGGAGAGCGGTTTGGTTGATATTTTGAGACTAGGTTGGTGATGTAGCTGGGGGCAGAGTTGTGGATGGCTTTGTACGTTGTTGATAGTATTTTGAATTGTATTCATGAGGGATGAGGGGAAGGACTAATGGTTGTGCTGTTGATAATAAAGTCATGAGTGGGGGATCGGGGGGGAGGAAATATTACAAGCTCGGTTTTAGAAAGATTGAGTTTGAGGAAGTGGCATGACATCCATACTGATATGTCACTCAGAGAAATCTGTGATACATGAGATTAAGGGGGTAAGCTGGGGAGTGGAGAGATAGATATGGGTGTCATCAGCATAGAGGTGGTATTGGAAGCCATGGGAGGTTATCAGTTGGCCTAGGGAAGAGGTGAGAGAGAATAGGAGGGGCCTAATTTGTAGCTACTAACTACTATTCTCTTAAACTACTTTTTCATGAACTGTTCAGCACTGTATAGAACATAAAGAATTAAGGTGATCACACATATAGTGTGCTTGCATTGGCAAACTCCATGAAAAACTAAAAAAAAAAAAAAG